GTTCAATTGATTCAATCGTAGACTACTCAAACGATCAATTCGATTCACTTTAAGGACTACCCCATATAGCAAATCAATACGAACTAGTGAGTACAATTAATTTGACTGATGAATCATTGAATCAATCTGGATTTTTTTAGAACTAGTTAGTTTAATTGCTACCCTATTAATCAATTAAATAAATTTATTTAGTAGGTTTGATATAAAATATTAAACTAAAAAATTTTAAATTTAATATATTTTTATTTTATAATGTGCATTAAATTCTTACAATAATTATAGTTAAAGCGAGCTTTAAACCAAGTATTTTTGCATGGCACCAGCACCAAATAATATTTATTTTTAATTAATTAATTAATAATAATTATTTATTATCATTATTACAATAATATAAATTAAAACTTTTATCTATTTATTATTCATAAATGAACTCACATGATTGATGCATAGGTGCAATTAAAAATATGCAAATTTTAATATACTGATTTTAATTATAGAATTTTATTTTAAAGCAAAATAATAATGATTAATTAAATTATATAAGATTATATGTGAACAAAATTTTATATTAAATATAAACAAATTTACAAGGAATGAAAGTATTTAAATTATTGAATTATTGCAAGATACTTTATTGGCATTAGAGCTCTCTATTATTTGTCTATCCTATTATAAATACTCTACATATGCTTTTATTAACTATCATTATAGTATATTTAAATTATATTTTTTAATATTTCATTACAATCATAAAGTCTCAACCCTAGATCTAAAAACCATGAATCTTTTCTTCTTCCATTTCTATATACGATCCATGCAACTTTTGATTTCAATTAATTTGATCAAATTGACCAATCTAGCCTAAAAGGTTTATTTGGCTCAAATTGAGTCACATGACTCAATTTGCCATATTAAGCTGAAGTTATTGATAGTTAATAAATTTAAAAAGTTCTCAAATGTTTTCTTGGCTCAATTTGGTTGAAATGGTCAAATTGGTCGCATTGGATTTAAGGGTTAAAAAGGATCAAATTGGAGTAAGTGAACCAATTGGCCTATTCAAAGGCCAATTTGGGCTAAATTATCTACAATTGATATATTGAATTTTTTTAAGATCTTGAGTGCAATCAATTTGATCAATTTAATTAAGTTAATTTTATAGGGTCAAATAAGTTATATTTGGACTAAGGCTTTATTTGGGACTGCTTTCTTACTGCTTCTTAAAGCAGTATGAAAACCATCATACACGAAGCTTAAATTAGGTCAAAAAAGATGAATCGAACTTCTACGAACAACTATTTATCTCTATTAGGTCACTAACATCCTATTGAGACCTAAACAGAGGGTTGGTTGAAGGCAATTTATCTAATTGTTAAGGTTTAAGCTCATGTTGGTCATATTAGGTCTTATTAGTGTAGGCTAGGGTTTAAAGGGGACTAACCAAATGCAATGGTTAAATATAATCAGCTTATAGTTTTGTGATCTAAAACCTATGAAAGAGTTTTGGCCTAATGACTAAAACACCAAAAGAGTCCAAAGTCTAAGGAGATATTAGAGCGAGTTTGATCATAGCTCAAACTTGGGCCCATAAGTCAAGCTGAGTGAATCTCATGTACAAGCATGTTATTGAGCCAATCATACAGATTGAATGGTTATATCATCAATTGAGTCAATTACAATCAATAATGTTAAACCTAGATCAAGTCTACCCTAGGGCTAACTATAATCAAATCTATTGGAAAATTGGAGTTTGTAATTGATATTTGAATGCAATAATCAATGGACTCCTCCTATGGACTTTGCTAAATCTAATATAATTCTATAATCATCCTAAGGTTAAACCCTAATCATCATAGGCTAAGAATTGAGAAGTTTCTAACTAAACTAAGGCTTCGTTTGGGTCATCTTTCATACTGCTTTCTAAAATGATTTTTTAATATACAATCTTTAAATTAAAAAAAAAGTACTAGAAAGTTATTTTAGAAAGCAACAAAAAAGCTGTCCCAAACGAAGCCTAAGTTTCATTTGAGATGATTTTCTTACTGCTTTCAAGAACAACTTTTTAATTAAAAAATTCAATGAAAATAGCAAAAAAGTAACAATCAAAAGTTGTACTTCTCTGGAACTATTTCTTATTGCTTCTTAAAGCATCTTTCTAGTACAAAGATTTTAATTTTTATACTAAAAAACTGTTTAAAGAATCAGTAAGAAAACTGTCCCAAATAAAGTCTAAGCTATAGTTGAACCAATCAAAGAATTATGGAGATAACTTTGAGGTTGAATTGATAAGTAATGCTTGGATACATTTCTAGAAATGAAGAAGAGGACCAAGCAAAGTTACTAATTTGTTCAAATTCAAATAAACTAGACTGAACATGGCTAGCTCATTTAAGTGATGAAAATAACTTACAAGTCAGACCTCATCATCAAGGTATTTATAATATTTGACATTTTTTATGCCAACATCTCTCAAATGGTTCTCTTGGCATCATGGCTACAGTAAGCAACATAGGTAGCAAGCATACAAATGGGATATTCCATAGCAGCTTGGGGTTGGACCTTGTAGTAAGATAATGGAAACAACTCCAACCAGTCTATACTAATGGGATATTCCATCCTATTGTTAAACCATGAATAACAAGAAAGTCTCTATTTCAAAGGAGATATTATTTTGTGTGGAGTCCGGACGGCAAAAACTATCCGGATTTACTGCGTATTTGCAAACAATCAGTAAATACTCAGCAAATGTTCAATTGTTAGTATTACTAAGTATTTTGTGAGTAATTACTGAATATTTTGTGAGTATTTACTGAGTATTTACAAACACTCATCAAATATGCAGCAATTCGGACGGTTCTTCCCGTCCGGACTCCGTACATAATAATTTCTCTTGGGAGTATCATAGCTGCTTGGGGTTGGACCTTGTAGTAAGATAATGGAAACAACTCAAACCAATCCATATTAATGGGATATTCCATCTTGTTGTTAAACCATGAATAATAAGAAAGGCTCTGTTTCAAAGATCAAAGAGTTGAAAACCCAGAAATTATTGCTATGAATAAGATTTCTACCAATTTTTTCAAAGCAAAACCCACAGCAATTAAAGTTACCTCAGATGATATAGGGGATGGAAATGAAAACAGCAATATGTTTAAGAGAGTTCCAAAGGAGGGTTCTATCAGCGTGCGAGTTCGCTGCATGGACAACAAAAAGTTGAAAGCTGATTGATTGATCACATTTTTCTCCATTGTCTTGTTAAGAGTCAAATTCTAATATAAATCCAATAACAAAATGTCATTTCTAATAGTTTCTAATAACGTCTTTTTTAAGTCTACTTCAACCTTTCTTATCATAGGACAAAAGCTAATACATCTACTCTCCCAACCGGACTATCGAAAGGCTGACGGTTTACGTGACCAAACCATTTAAGGGGACTCCCTCTAAACTTATCTAACATTGGAAATACTCCAACTTTTTCACGTATATAATTGTTTCGCATTTTGTCTCTAAGAGTGAGGCCACTCATCCACCTAATCCTCATCTCCACAACATTTAATTTAATTTTAATTTAATTCCATCCTAATCATGAATGACCTGAGCCTGAACTAAACATGAGGCAGTAGAGGCTTTCCACTTCTGCCAAATCCTGTCAGATTGAGATGTACTGAAGACACTACAAATGCCTTTATCAGCAAGAAAACTGAATTGATAAACCATTGGATATTGAGTCGCCAGAGGCTGATTTTTTGTTTAAAGGGCACGAATAAGGTCTAGATTGCAAATCAGGAATCCTAATCCAAAGGGCAACATAGGAAAATTCCACAATAATATGGCAAAAATCAGGAAATCATTCTTTAATAATAAAAGGCTTGCCAAAAAAATATGATCTCCTATCCATACAAGATCGAAATATTCCGAACAGAAATTTAAAGAGGAAGAAACCCATTTTGAGAGAGAGAAGGCCCATAGTACCTTTCAGCAGACAAGCTCTCTTAATCTTGACCAATAGAGGTCCATAAAAAGGCTTTTTGCCTAGAGAATATCCCACTAGAAGCAATTTGTTGAGCATTGAGCCTTGAAGCCGGTTAAAAGGGATGTCCATAAAGGTGAAGGAGATTTCTGTTAGGCCAGCCCCCCTTGGGCCGGCTAAACCTGCTGGACCGGTCCCTAGTGGACTAGGGACCGGTTCTTGTCTATAGGCGGAAGGGCAAGAGGGGGGCGGAATAAGGAGAGAGAGAGAGAGGGGGGCAGCTAAGTAGAGGGGGCTCACACGCTAATTAAATATTATATTGGAGGAAAAATTCAAATTAGGGGCTGTTTAGGAATTTAACTTTATCCTTTGCTTTAATTAGTCTTGTATTGTTAGGGTTTGGGACATCTTGAATGAAAGAAGAGATTTGAGATCTAGGGTTTGTTCTGTTGGGCTCTAGGCTTTGCTAGAGAATTGGAGAGTTGTTTCTTACTCTCGAATTGAAGAAACTTGTATCTTGTATTGCATTTCTTGTTCGTGAATTGAATAGAAGTTTTCCTTGTGTTTTCTCTCAAATCTTCTGAAATTCATGCATCGTTTTGCTGATTTCTCTCTGAAATCAACATATTTCTCGCTGTTTCACCAATTCTTGATAGATTTCCTTGCGAACTCAAGTATTTCCACTTGCGAAGTATTTCCTATCAATTTCATGGAGAAAAGCCGGCCACTGGCCAAGGCCGTAGGAGTATAAGGGTTTTTAGGTCTAAGAATAGATTGAGAAATATAAGGGATAACAAAGAGAATGGGTGCCGGCGGTGGAGAGGTGGTATGCAAAAACCCTAGTAGAGCTCCTGACAAAGCAAGCCCTTCATTTTTGCTTCAAATTTATGCTTTATGGGGGGCTAAAATGTAACATGGAAGCAGTAACCAATCCTCTGGTAAGCCTAAACAGGCAACAAATAATTCTCATGATAAGCAATTTAAATGACTCACAAGCAATCTAAAAGTTCTACACCAAATCATTTCATTCATGAACCAATAAAAGCAGGATTTTATGATTCATATAAGGTTTTTTTATTAGTTCTTAATAAACATACTATGTACAATTCAAAATCCTGGGAGCTATTACTTTACAACATGGAACAGTGCCAAAATAATGTATCCAAGCTCAAGAAATTTCTTGATGCCAGGTACTATAAATATGAGCACGAATCTCAAAGGCAAAAATTATAAACAAATAAAAAATCTATAACAAGGGCTAACCAGATTACTGGTGATGAAAACACAAAGGTAAAAACTGTTTCTTAGACCCCATAAACGATAGATTCTGTAATGGCTGTAAGACTTAGATCTGAAGGTCATCCACAGAAAGTTCTTGAGTAGAAAGCATCTTTAGTTTCTGCAGATGGATAGGCAAACGCAAATTGAATATACTATGAAAATAATTTGTTGCATATTGCATTAGTCAAGAAATTTTTTTTATGCAAGCAATATGTAACCCAAATTTAGCAATAAATAAAAATAAAAATGACGTGAGAATTGATACACTGATGAAAGAATAAGTAGAGAAGTGTACACCAGTATCGAAGGTCAAATCTTTTAGGGGAAATACTCAAATAGTCTCCCGGAGATTTATTTGTGATCAATTTAGTCCAGAGCATCACATTTCTCTAATTTAATTCTCAACTATACAAAATTGATCCAAAATGATCCTTCAAGTAGAAATTGTTGAAAATTAGAATACAAAATTGATCTTAATTAGTCTCTCAACTATACAAAATCAATCCAATTTAATCCATGAGGAATCGTTTGGGATAAATTTTATATAGTTGATGGACACAATTGGAGAAATGTGATATTCTTGGGCTAAATTAGCCACATACAAATAGTCAGGAGACTATTTTCATCTTTTACCCTAAATCTTTCATAATGCTAAAAAATACGCAATTGACCAAGGTTTTCCCTCTTCAAGCATCACCTTGAACAAACTTGAAGCAGAAAAGCAAGCAAAGGTTTTCCTTGCATCTGTCAAATTATTTAGACCTCTATTATGTATTTTAACACTTTTTCTCAAGTCTGCTCATTCTTTTATTCATCCATTTCGTCCTCGTTGTCTCCCTCTCAAATGATGGGTAGCAAGTTTTCATGACTCAAGGAGGATTGCAATTTAAATATTTTTACTTTTTGAGAAATTTGGACTCTTAACGTTCCCTTTTGAACGAAAGAAATGTTCTCAAGTATAACCTCATACCTGGAGATCAACCACACCAGTTTGAGCAAAAAAAACAGATAAAGTTGATCAAATGATAGATATCAAGTGCAACCCCATCTTCACTATCAAACTTGTTATGTGGGTAGTCTGAGCCCTAAAAATTTGCAACCAGCTCTTCTAATAGAGTTATGGTTCTAGGTCATATTTTTAGAAGCCAGATTGAATTGTAGATAAAACACTACCTAGAGATTTTGCCCCTTTCACAAAAACTATAAGATATGGTTTTAGGTTTCCCACAGGCGCAACGAAAGAAAAACTTTGATTAAAGCTAGTCAATAGATTCAAAGAAATTTATCACCTTTTAACTTAGAGCGGATGGTGGAAGAAATGATGATGAATTCAATCAAGATCTTAAAGTTCTGTCATCTCAAATTATCATACACCCTAGTCTACTAAGTCAACGGAGATTGAAAATCCAACATTCCAACCTAACTAAGGGATCTTTTTAGTAGTCATCCAAGAGAACCATATAAACCTGACATGAATATTTGCCTAAGGGAGCGATTGTTTAGGTCGACCTTAGCTAACAAAAGTATTTATGTGCTATCTAGTGCACCTTATGTTCACAACTCAAAAGGTTAAACTATTGAGAAACCTCTGTGCATTGGCTGTCATTATATTTTAATAATATCTATTTGCAGCAAATCACTAGATTAGTTTGTGACACATTATTATTGACCTTAGAATTTTTGAGAGTGATTATAGGGATATATTTTATATGAAATTTATATGACATAGACTCTTTTTAAACTAAAACTATCTTAAATTTATCACCCCTGATAAATTGTTGTAGAACATATTATTGCTTTTAAGCTTTAAGCACTAGAGTTTGCTACTTGAAGATTTTATATTTTTTGGTTTTTTATATTTTTGTCGAGAATTTGGTACTTTTAGCCCAAAACAATTTTCTTTCAAATTTGGTGGTATTTTAATAATGTGGTCCCCTTGAATTAAAATTATTTTAGTCAACACATTCAACATTGACAAAAACTGTTTGCAATATTTATATTTATAACTTGAAAACTTTATTTTTGAAAATAGACTCCTCTAATTATGATGTGTAATTACCATGCGCACAATAGGTTAAGACAGTTTGCATCATTTATATTTGTAATTTGAAACCAAACCCCGTCACTTATGAAGTACGATAGATCACGTTCATCATAAAGGCATTTGATTGCTTGTTTATAGAAGATCGGGTTTATATATTTAATTGTAGCATACTCTTTTGATACTCTTTTGGGAATTCATCTCATTATAGACCTTCTACGCCTCTCTTATATAGAGGATCAAAATAGAGCATTAAAACTCATGACTATTTTATAAGGATGGCATATAAATTTTGAATTTTAAAAGTGAATTTTGAAGGGCTTATGCACAAGAAACATAAAAATCTTTGCAAGATTTAGATTGATTATTAGGTTATAATTTACTTAATTGCACTAAGAGTAGGACTTGAAATCATTCTTTAATCATGCTTTGTTTAAAATTTATTGCTTGAATATCTTTCAAAGGGTTCAAATTTTGTTGACATTAATATTTGAGATGTGGAGGATTGGCCTTGAAATTTATGACTTACAAGTCTATCATATAGAGGTTGCCCACTCGAGAGCATCGTGCAGCAATGAGAATTTGAACTAATGCTTAAAAAAATGTTTATGAATTTTCAAAAATGGTTGCTTGCATTTCAAATGGGTTACACACTTTTTACAACAAGGGAAAGTTTGAGTTGATCTTAATTTTAGTTTGTGCAGATTTTTCTAACATTAAAGTCAAGAGTTTAGAACATTTATCGCCAAATTTTCTTTCAATGATTTGATGTGTCGTGCGCACCATAAAAAGTTTTCATATTCACGACGAGCAAAAATGAATCATTCAATTTTATTTGGAAAGCTCTCATTTGAACAAACACACAATCACTTGACATGTGTGCTGGCATAATATACCAGTCATTATGTGAACTTATTGTCATTAAAGTGTGCACGCGACTGTCTCACATTCTATCCACATTTGTGTATTGATTTGAGAATTCGATAGCGAGTAATTGTGATTAAAGTGTAAAAGAGTATTATTTGGTTGCAATTAATTCATATTTTGTTCCAATAGAGTTATGAAGCTATAACAAAGAAGTCCAATTCATGCTCATCAATGAGATGTTGTGTTTCTTGTAAGTTCTATTTGTGTCAAATGTCAAGTCGATTCTGATTCATTTGACATTATATATATATATTTCATTTTGTGACATTTTATTGAGTAAAAGTTCAAAATAGCCCCCTGACTATTGATAAATATTCAATTTGGTCCTAGAGTTTCTCATTACCCCAGTTTGATCTTTGAACTATTAGAAATTGAACCAATTTAATCACAAAGGCTAAAATAAAAGTTAAAATTAACTCTAAAATTCAATATGAACGGATTTTACGCATTATAAGTGGATATGATATTACATTTTTTACATTGCTCTATTTTCTCCTCCTCTAGGTGTCGAATTGCATGGTGGTCGCTCGCAGTAGCTCACGATAGTCTTCATCTCTAGCTATCGTGAATGCAAATTGTCCGCCAACTCCTCTAGCTATCTCTCACCGCATCGCTCGTGGCCTCTTACGTCTCGCTCATAGAGTGCGTGTGTCGTCTCCAAGCATGAAGTCTTGCTCTCATCGGTCGTCAAGCTCGTGGTCCTTGTATGTCGCAACACGTCGCATTGCTCATGGCAATAGGTCTTCCCCCTTGCACCATTCGATCTCTAGTTCTGTCTCCAGGAAATTATAGTGAGAAGGCGAAGGATTATGTAAAAAAGTATTTTACTTAAATACCTCAAAGAACCAAATGCTTGGGGTCTTCTTTCGTTAATTTAAATGGAAAATTTAACAAAGGGACTAAATTGGGCAATTTCTAATAGTCGAAGGATTAAAATAGGGTAATGCAAAATTTTGGGACTAAATTGGACATTTATTAATAGTCTGGGGACTATGCTGAGCTTTTACTCTTTTATAATTTTATACTTGTTCATTCCATTCAATTTTTTTTTATTATTTGTGCCGCATTCGTAGTTTAAGAGGCCCCATTTATTTTATTTTTTTTAGTTCTTTTCAAGTTCAATTTCACTAAAAATTTTAGCTACATCCCGATGTCTCTCTTACATTTGGAGCATCTATGGGGAGTGTTAGACCTGCCAATTATGCCTTAAAAGGTCTCATACATTTGGAGCATCTATGGGGAATGTTAGACCTGCCAATTATGCCTTAAAAGGTGTGCATGATTAGCATGTTAAGACATAGCAATCGTGATAAACAAAAACCACCAACCCAAGAAAGGCGTGCGTGGATTACTTGTACAAGTGGTTTTCATAACATAACCATCTTGCTAAAAAAAAAGCAAACACAAGGGTTACTACATCACAAGCGTTGCCTATGAGTTTTTCTTATCATGCTAAGAAAAGAGTGCACAATTTTGCATGCCATACCTAACGCATAACAAACAAAATTTTAAGAGTTTGAAAGGTTGCATTTTCTACGTTTGTGCAAGGAATCAACAACAAAATAATCTCCAACAAAACGACTAAACTAGTCAAACAAATTCACATAATCTTCTGACTTTTTTTTCAATCTTCTTTTTCTTTCTTTTTTTCTTTGTTTCTTTTCTCTAGAAAGATAGGAGAGAGAGTGGAAGACCGAGGGTGAGAGTAAGAGGCCAGCAAACTTGAAGAGAGCGATGGCAAGTGAGTTCTACAAGGGAGCAGAGGCCACGATGCAAAAAGGAGAAGCGCAAGTATTACATAATGAAAAAAAGGCAAGTGCATTTGATATTTGTTTTTATAATGTCGAGATGGGATGGATGAGATACATGGACTTCGCATACCTAATGGGAAAGGGCGTGCAAGGATAAGGATTTTGGGGCATGGGAGGCTTGATTTCCTTTTTTTTTCCTTTGAATTTTTTTTTTCATAGAAATTAAAATAAAATTTAATTTTATTCACTATGTTTTGCAAGTTCTCAATTTTCATTTATGTTGAAATTTAGTCCTCATCTACGTGTGTGTAAATTTTATGTTTCACTTTTGTGTAGTGACTTGAGCAATATTGATATTCTTTAGGGGTAATTTCGATGTACCAAATGCATTGACACAATTCATTTTGCGAGATTGGTGATGGTTGGGTACTTCAATTGCGATCAAAGCATTTCAATTTAAATTTGTCTAATGTCATATATTTTATTTGTTGTTTGTTGTTTTCATCATGTTCAATTAAATCAACTGTGAAATAATTTCGACGCTCTGGTTGAATCGATGCAAGCTAATTTGTAAAACAAACAAAGTTTTAATGATTTTGAATGTGGTAGATGCATTTTGAATCATATGTGCATGACTTCACCTCTATTATCTAACATTTTCATCATTTTTGATCAAATCGCTCATGGAATTGATATCAAAATCAACAAGTATCAATATTTTTGTTCACTTTAAAAGTCACACTATCAAGATAGCCCAATTTGTTGGTAAAAGAGCTATTGGTAGGATTTTTACTTCTAATAAACTTTATATTCCAAATAGACAAAGCCCTAACATATTTTGGGTATGGGGAAAGATGTTGTCTAGATTTTTGAACTTAAACCAAGATGTTCCTAACACATAAAACATGGAAAATGAGCTGACTTTATAACCCGGGCCTAACTTATATATGATTAAAGATCCATTCAACTGTTAAAACAATCTAGAACTACTACTGGACAAATAAATATTTTTAGAAGCTATTGTGAATATCCCTTTTGAAAAAGTGAGGCAAAAGCTTTCTTAAAACTACCACATATTAATAAATTTGATTATAAAATACTTCCTCATCACAAAAAAGTTCTTAAAGGTAAGGAGAAAGTAGTAGCCAACAAAAATATGATTGTTCTCTAAGAGCAAAACGGTGAAAAAGCTATCCTAACCAAATGTGGGCATAAATAAAGCAACATGGTGGCCTGAGTTATTCACCAGCACCACGTATGGACAAAGCCAGAGGAGGCTGACCCCACCCACCACTTTCTCTCTCCCTCAAGTTCCCAGGATTATTAAATCATATCAAAGCCAAATAAAGCCGCATATTCTTTACTGGAGATGATTTTGAAACAAATGGAATGGCGAGATGGAGTGGCAGAGGGTAACCATAGAATAGCTGCATATTGATCATTAGGACAATGATGCATGGATGCTGTTAAGATAAATACCACAGGGAAGCTAACTAATTATGGAACAAACAGAAGACGTTAGATAAGGAAGCAAAAGTAATCACTAAGCAGCAGCATGTCATTGCCATAAGCATCCATATTATGTGAAAGATGTTCTTGACTCACCGTTATAAATTGTGCAGGATCATCAATACTTGTTGAACCAAGGATGATCTCTCTCTTAAACTTCGAAGTAAGCTTATGGACCACACGAAGCTGTTAAAATGTTCAAATGTAAGAGAAAAAGTAATCAAGTGGCTAAAGTGTAAATAATGCAGTATTTATCTGTAATAACTGCAAAATAAATAAAATGATCACCTCTGATCGAGTGGCTCCACCAATTATAAACACAAAAATCCTCTGGCCCATGGTTTTGAAGTCATTAGATGCATATTTTAGTACGGAATCACTGAAGAAGCCAAACAACTAGTAGGTGAGAATTAAGATGAAACATGGAACACAAATGAATTCCTTTAAGAATATAAGTAGACAACAAGATTAAATCTGTACTACCTAGAATATCCATCATCAGAATTTCGTGGTCGAGCCCATGTAGCAGGGCGCCTAGATCTCATAGAGTGAGCGGGTTGACCAGAACCCGTTCGGACAGGTGTACCATTTGAAGCTTCATGGAATGAACGGCTTGGATCATTCATGCATTGATACTCATTTTTCGGTAATTCACCCTTGCAAAGTTTCTCAACAAGTTCCTGTCGAGAGATGAAAACATGGCAAATCTTTGAACCTCATTTGACACGAAACAGTTATGAAAAAGGTGCGTGAATGATTGACAATAAAAAAATTAGACGAATAACATACCAATGAAGGTTTTTTATTAAGATCTAACAATTTTCATACCCTACTGACAATAATTCAAATTTTCTAGAATATCACATGAGAATTCAAGCATTCTTGATACATTTTGGATTACTCTTTTAATATCATAGACTAAATGCAGTCAAGACTACCCTAACAGGAAGTGATGCATGATAGAGCAGCCCGAAAAGAATTGAATAATCAAGAAAAAAAATCAAAACTGATGTAGACAAAGGGGGGGTCAACACAAGTTGAGTTTTATTTTTAATTTCTTGCCTTGTGTCTTTTCATCTT